CCGGCCAGGGCTGTCACAAGTTATTTACAACATCACGTTGCCTGTGGATCCATCTGTCAGCTGGAAATGTTGCTTCATTCCACTTGCAAGTCATAATCTTGAACAAATTGAAAAGCCTGTATCAATAATCATTTGTTAACACATCGCCATGTTAAAACTAATTAAAACTTACAGCTACAATAGGAATCATAATTTAATAAGCGGGAAAGCATGATTGAGACAGTACGGGGTAACATCTGGACTCCATGTAGACTGAAAGAATCCATCTTACAGGCCTGACTCCTTGCTTTCCGTAAAATCCCATATTGGAACCTAACCTAAACTAACCACATCCTTAAAGGAAAGAATGTACAGCAATAACATCCTTTCTTAACATCGTGTTCTGCAAAAGAGTTGTTTTTATCAAAAACCAGAATGTTTGCACAAACATTATTTTATAGGCCCTTTAAGTAGTCTGCAGACCATGAAAAACATCTCATGACCACCACAGGATCAACTGCCACCAGATGATGGTCACTCCAAGCCCCATCCCCACCCCAAAGCCTCTAGAGAAGCCTCCACAAGAACCCCTTGGAAAGCTCAGCTTCTCTGTCCTGCTGGACTCCCCTCTCTCCTGTGCACAAGCTTTTCAATGAACTTGACCTTGTACCGAGTTCAGTGCTCCTTGAGCGAGACGCAAGAACCTGGAGTCCAACTCAGGACATATAAGGAAGAAACCTAACTGCAGCTCCTCCCTGCTCACAATGTTCATACCTTCTCAGAACGTGTCTTTGGGTGCTGTGGTATTGTTTGTTTGTTTTTAACAAAGTAATTCTAAGGAAAAAATTTATACCCACTCAGGAAAAATGCATGTTACAAATATTAATTTCACACAAAAGTGAAACGAGTGACCATTTGCCCACACTGATGTTTGTGTCACCAAAACACTACTAGATGCAAATTGTTATGTAAATCTGAGACCCACTGCCGACTTTAAGATACAAACTTAAACACACATATTTATTAATCTCAAGAAAAAACCATTATGTAAATTGTTTATTCATATTGTAAGTGAAATACTAATTTCTAATATTTAAAAGCTTTGCTTTTCATGTTTATTTTATAATTAAGCATCTTGCTGAAGTTTGGTAAGAATTCTAGTTTTCCAGGTAACCACATCATCTGCAAATTACCATTTTTTTATCCTTTCCCAAAGTGATGCTTCTTTAAATAACCCACAGTGTATTAAATGAGTGGTTGGCGGACTCCCTATTCTATTCCTAACTTTAATAGGTACATCTCTAGTGTTTCCTAGTAAATTTGTTATTATATTCCTTTAAACATATTGTACTGTTTCATCAGGATTGTAAGTTGAATTATAATATTTTTAGGCGCCCTGGCCGGTTTGGCTCAGCGGTTAGAGCGTCAGCCTGCGGTCCTGAGAGACCCGGGTTCGGTTCCCGCTAAGGGCGCGTACCTCGGTTGCAGTTTGTCCCCGGCCCTGGTCGGTTGTGTGGGTGGCAGCCACTCGATGTGTTCCTTTCACGTCGATGTTTCTCTCTCTCTCTGTTCCTCTCTCTCCTCCCACTCTACCTGAACAAAAAGTGGAAAAATGTCCTCGGGTGAGGATAAAAAATAATATTTTTAGGCATTTATTAAAATGAGTGTATGGTTTTCTTCCTTTGCTATAAATATAAAATACTTTTTTTGTTTTAATCCTCAACCGAGGACATTTTTCCATTGATTTTCAGATAAGGAGGGAGGGAGGTGGGAGAGAGAAACACATCCATTGGCCACCTCTCGCATGATCCCAATCAGGGCTGGGGATTGAACTGCAACCAAGGTACATGCCCTTGACTGGAACTGAACCCACAAATCTTTGGTCTGTGGGCTGACGCTCTAACTGCTGAGCAAAACCAGGGGCAAATACTTTTTTTTGTTTTTAATCCAGGAAGCCAACCTTGTACAGCTGATCCTTGAATAATGTAAGGGTCAGGGGTGCTGAACCGTACTCCCCGCAGCTGAAAATCTGCATATAACTTTTGACTCCCCCAAACTTAACTGCTAATAGCCGACTGTTAATGGGATGCCATCCTGATAGTATATACACAGTTGATAAACACATCTTTTGTATGTTGTATTTAATACTGTATTCTTACAATAAAGTAAGCTAGAGAAGAGAAAATGTTAAGAAAATCATAAGGAAGAGAAAATACATATATGTATTGAAACTAAAACCATGCGGTTCAAATCTGCACTGCCCGAGGGCCAGCTGCTCCTAGGACACACGCCGCACTACCTGGCCGTCTGTCAGTGTTTCTGCAAGGTTCAGCTGGTGTTGATTTATCATTCTTTTTTTTATTGATTTTTAGGGACAGAGAGAGAAGAGGAGGTGAGAGAGACACCCATCTGTTGTATTTCTGCACTCATTGGTTCATTCTTGTACGGGTCCTGACCAGGGATCAAACCTGCAACCTTGGCATATCGGGACAATGCTCTAACCAGCTGAGTTACCCAGCCAGGGCTGCTTAAAACTCTTTAAGACTTCTGAATCTATTTTATTTATTTTTTGATCCTCACTGGAAGACATTTATTTATTTTTTTTTTTGCATTTATCTTCAGATACAGCAGGAGGGAGAGAGGAAGAGAGAGACACATCAAGTGGCTGCCACCCACATGACCCCAACAGAGGCTGGGGACAAACTGCAACCAAAGTACGTGCCCTTAGCAGGAACCAAACCCGGGACTCTGGTCCGTGGGCCAACGCTCTAACCGCTGAGCCAAACTGGCCAGGGCTATTCTTTCTTTTTGTCAATGTTTTGGTACTGGGTTCATGCTAACACTAGAAAATAAATTAGAATGCTTTTTCAACATCCTGGAACAGTTTAAATAGCTTTAAATATTTCCTCCTGGAAATGTTAAAACAATTAATCAGTAAAACACCTGGACTTGATTTCATTTTTAAAAAGAACTTTTCCATAATTTTATATTACAGATTTAGTGAGATACTTCTGATTATGTCTTTTTCTAGAAAATAGTCCATTGCACCCAGATTTTCAGATTTATTGGCACAGGGCAATACAAAGTTTATCATTTTAAAATCTTTGTTTATCCTAAATATTTTGGTTTACATGTTCCTGGCTTCCTATCTTTTGCTATGTCTTTGTAAATACTTTATCTTCTTCAATGTGGTGAGAATATTTATCTTGCTTTTAATTTTAATAATTACTTTGACATTTTTAAAAGCACTTTTTTTTTAATCCTCACCCGAGGACATTTTTGCATTTATCTTCAGATACAGCAGGAGAGAGAGGGATAGAGAGAGAGAGAGAAACATCAATGTGAGAGACACACATCGAGTGGTTGCCACCCACATGACCCCCACCAGGGCCGGGGACAAACTGCAACCTAAAAGCATTCTTTTATCCTTCATTTTTCCAACTGTCAAAGTCAATATTGAAATGGAACATTCTGACTCTATTTCTCATGAAAATGTAGGAACTGTTTACTTACGAGCTTCTCCACCTCACCTCCATGTCAGGGTCCCATTGCATCATCAGTTTCTATACTGGTTAATAATCTTACAAAATTCTTACTAATAAATCACTGCTTTCCCCATTAGTTATTATTCTGAAGAACTTGAACATTCCACTTCATTTTTAAAAGCAGATGTACAACAATTATTTAAATATATTCATGTTTAAGTGATCTCTGTGTTCACTAGAGTTTTTTGGAATGAGTTTGATTTAATAAGTTAAATTTTCCTTCATCTCTAAATTGGTTAGCATAATGTAAGTAGTTACTTTTCTCGAATAGCACGTAAGGGGTATAATTTCTGAACACTTGCATATCTGAACATTTCTTTCCATGGTCTTCCCCTATGAAAGACATCTTCACTAAGTATAAATCCTTGGATTAAAAACTGCCCTTCCAGCCCGTCCAGTGTGGCTCAGTGATGGAGCATCGACCTCTGCACCAAGAGGTCGCCAGTTCGATTCCCGGTCAGGGCACATGCCCAGGTTGTGGCCCTGATTCCCAGTGGGAGGTGTGCAGGAGGTGGGCAGTCGATGTTCTCTCTCTCTCTCTCCTTTCCTCTCTCTAAAATCAATAAAGGAAAATATTAAGAAAAAAATTGCCCTTCCAAAAGTTGAAGAGAGAGGTAACTTTTCAAATTTGTTTCTTCTCTTGCAGGTAACTGGCTTTTGTTTGTGGCTTTATCCTTAAAATTTAATTCTTGCCATTAAATTCTAATTGTAATGTATCTAAATTACAGGATGTGTCTAATTACAGGCTCCATGTCTCACTGATTTCTCTGGAACATGATGAGCTCTTTCAGTCTGTAGATGCAGATCCTTCTTTAGCCCCAAATCTTTGTTCCGCAGTATCTCTGAGGAATGTTGGCCTTTGCTTGTCCTGGTCTCCGCTTCAGAAACAGAGAGAACCCCACGCTGAAGTGCCAGCTTCTGCTCCGCACCTGCACCCACTCTGGTACCAGCTCTAGGACTGTGTCCTGAGAGAGCTGGTCTGTGCTGTTACCACTGATTCCATTTCTGAAGTATCAATAATGGAATTTGTTTCTGGCTACTTCGCTCATCTTTGGCTACAGCAGGAGGTATCTCTGGGTGTTAGGATGATGACGTTTCAATTTTTCAGTGTAAAAAATCTTTTTATTTTGCACATATATGCTTTGGCAATAATTACTTTGGAAAATAAAACTAGAAAATAATTTTTTTTTTCTTCAAAGTATTCTGTGGACAGCACAATACAAAGTATCAGTACCTGTGACTTTAGGATACACAGAAAAGTTGTAACAGGAAGGTATGGTTATAGAGTATGTACTTGTTTCCAAAGGGAAGGTTGCTGATATAGTAAGAAAACAGAGTGAAACATGATCTAGACCTGTTCCCACATAAACACGTTTTATTCCAAATAATCACATAATTTAAAGAATTTTTCTAAAGCAGTTTTACAAAAAATAACCCCATTGTCATTAATGCTGGAAATTCTAGTTTGCATATTAGTAGTACCTTAGTTGAACTGTAACATTCCAAAAATTTCAGAGCTTCTATAGATTTCGTTCTTAAAGTTAATACTCTCTTATTTTTCATGATAAATGATGTTACTGGAAACTTCACTTGGTAGACTTTTAGTTCTGTGATAATTTTTGCAATCCTACAAATAAGCAGCACAATAATACAGAAGGTAGCAATAAGGCAGCCTAATGGCCTGCGGCGGGGGCCAGGGGGCCACACTTGGTCAAGCCCAGGTTGAACAGGGTGGAGTTGAGGTTGATGCAGAGAAAGGCGTGCTCGGGATGGGTTGTCCTCTGTATTTCCTGAAGCATCAGATGAAGTGTGAAAAGTTCGAAGAGCTTCTTATTACTCCTGTAAGAGAACGAGCAAGGTGTTCAACTACACACGCTTGCGGGCTCATCTGTGGCAGGACTGAGACGTGTGAATGTGGAAAAGTGGCATCTGTTTTTAAAAGACAGTGAAGAAACTAGGTAACTAAAGAAATAACACACGAGAGACACAAAATGGGTTTATGAGCTAGGCCTGAAGTGAGAAAGTATTCACGGGAAGAGAAAACACCCCTAACCCTGAAGTCTGCGCCCCTCGAGGGCGGCTTCTGCCGACAGCAGGAGAGCTGCCCACCCGGCCCGCTGTAAGTGGGCTGGGCTTTCTGAAGCACAGTGACTTACCTTTGGCCCCTGCTGCAAAAAACCTTTTCAACCATCCTCTTTCTATACCGTCAGTAATTTCATTATCGATTAGTTAGAATTATATCTGATTACATATTTCTTATTTCCTGTCTACATATACTTGTATCTTGAGAGAAATGATCGAGTAACTGCATAAAATCATGTATTTGATACAAGAGAGTTTACATCTTTGTGGTTTTAAAGATTCATTTTAAGATGCTTGAGCACCAAGTGTTCCCAGCCCAAGGGCATGCTCGCACTCGGGACTACGGAAGGACCCCGAGAATCAACAGCTAAGGAAGAAGTCAACGTGAGCAGTGACTGCCACTCCACGGCACCGTGGGTCAACTGTAACAGGCCTTACTGAGAACTTACTGGCTCAAAACCACGACAATCATGGTACAGTAAGTCTTCAAGAAAAGAAAGACAATGATTTGGTAAGTTTAACTGGTACTAGATGAAAACCAGCAATTTGGTGAGTGGAGTAGGAGGTTACGATTGGATAACTAATAACTAGTAACTTACTGTGGTGTGGTGTGGTGTGGGGTGGTATGGTGTGTGTAGTGTGGGGTGGGAGGAGTGAGTACTGTGAGGTGGTGTGGCATGGGGTGGGTGGGTGGGGTTGTTGCTAGGCACCAAGCAGAACAGAGGCCCGGTCACCCGTCTGCAAACAACTGCGGATGCGTACACTCACATTCAAGTACAGTGAGGCCTGTAAACCTCCTATGTTCACCACCATGGGAGTCATGGCAGAGGGAAGGGAGGGGACAGAGAAGCTGAACCAAAGTCACAGTTTAACTGTGATAAAAACTGTTCAGATTTTCCTCAAAAGAAATATTGGGCTATACCAACATTCTAAGAAAATATAGCATAAAAATCTATGTCCTTTATTTATAATTTTTAAAATGATTATACCAATGTCTGCATAAACGGAAAGAGGAAATATGAAAAGAAAGCCCCCAAGCCTTACAGTAAAATTCAAATTAGTGGCAGCAGCAAGCCCATCATTTTTCCTTAGATAATCATTACTTTAAATCTTTTCTGCCTGCTTCTTTCTCATCTCCGAAACTAACTGTAGTACATCAATAAGAATCCGAGAAACGTACTTTTAAGATCGTTTTCACCTGTGGCTATACAGAATGCCAGTGTGCAGTCATTTCTTGATTCTATGACTTGATTGCTAAAAATTGCTCTTAGTTTTATATACTCTGTGCTATTTAAAGTTTATTTAGCAGAAGCAACAAGAATTCTAAGATGAAAACTCTAATTCTTTTGTATTACTATGTGGTCTCAGTTTTCTACATATTTATTGAAAATTTTGATTTAATAATCAAAGTTGAATTCGTACAGGATTCAGAAAGGTTTAAATGATTGTAAAAATAAAAAGTTAGAGAAAATATTCTTACTTGATTTTAGAAAGTTTCTGTAGAATAATACTGAGCTTTTCCAGTATCTGAAGATCGAGCTTGGGGGCTCGAAGCAGCACAGAGCAGGTACGAAAAAATAAAGTGTTGCTACAGGCGTCTAGGAAAGGCTGCAGGGATTCTGCAAAGAAAAATGCCAGGGCCTGCTGTCAGAGAGCAGCTGAAACAGGAAGTTAAAAACCAAAACACAACCAGAACTGTATTTATACATATTGATTTGGTTTTCATATATAATCTTTGAAGCAAAAATATCACCATCTGAAAAATTAAAGTATCCACCAGTTCTTGTTGAATAAGGCAAACTAAAGATAAGATTATTTTCCCTAATATCAAACTTCTATTAAGCAGAAATTCCATGTTTGAAAGTCAAGGAAATGTCGTTTCTTCAATAAGTTCATAACAGTAGGCTGATTAAATAATTAGCAATAAGAAATTTGTTGGGATAGTATTTTAAAGCCCTAAATTTAACAATGTCATTTGAGTATTAATGACAATTTACATAATCACTGGACAAAGAATAACTTTTTTATTCTTCTTCACCCAAGGATACTTTTTCTATTTATCATCAGACAGAGTGGGAGGGAGGGAGAGAGACAGAGAGAAACATCGATGTGATAGAGCCACATCAACTGGTTACCTCCTGCACGACCCAACCAGGGCCGGGGACAAACCACAACCAAGATACCTGCCATTGGCCAGAATCGAACCCACGACTCACTGGTCCGCAGGCCAATGGTCTGACTGCTGAGTCAAACCGGCCAGGGAGACACAGAATAACTTTTTAAGCATACAAGCAATCAGGGGAAAAGATTCATAAAAGACTGAAAAATTTTACAATAAACATTTTAAATGTCAAGAGGTCCTGCTGCTGAGCACCAGCACATAGCACCCTCCCACCCACTGTGGATTGAGATTGTTGCCTGAAGAATCCACGGAAGTGGCCAGAGTGGCAGAACCCTGGGACACAGAAGTCAGAAGGACTCAATCTCTGGGTTACTAAGACCGATCTCTTTGGGTACAAAGCCTGAAAGACAAAACTGCTGAGTTCTAGAAAGAGATAACTTAAATGTTGACTTGGAGATGGCAGTGGAGTGAATGGAAGCTACACAGACCATCTCCCAGAACCAAACTGGAACTACAACTAAAATAAAGACAAATCATCAGAAAAAGCCAACTGAAGAGCAGCTGGAGAGAGCCGGTACGACCAGGCACATAAAGAGGATGCCAAATCGAGCCTGGTAGGAACTGCGCAGGTACGTGGGGGCAGGCTGGGAGCCAACGAATAGCAGTGAACAGGTGTATTAGTGGTGTGTGCTACCCACTGAGAAAGCGAGGGTTTTTAAAAACACCAAATCAGCTACAATCTCTCACCTGGGGCTCCAGCAGAGGGAGGGCAGAGTGGAACAGAAATGTGTGGGCTCAGGAGAGAGCTGGGGGGGTGGATGCCAGGAGTCCTGTCTGAATCACTCCCTCACAGGACAGTAGCCATCTTACTAAAAAAAAAAAAACCGCCCTGGCTGGTTTGGCTCAGCGGTTAGAGCATCAGCCTGCAGTCCCGAGAGACCCGGGTTCGGTTCCCGCTAAGGGCATGTACCTTGGTTGCAGTTTGTCCCCGGCCCTGATTGGTCGTGCGGGTGGCAGCCACTCGATGTGTCCCTTTCACATCGATGTTTCTCTCTCTCTCTCTCCCTCCTACTCTATCTGAACAACAACAACAAAAAAAAGTGTCCTCGGGTGAGGATAAAAAAATTAAAAAATAAATAAAAAATTAAAAAAAAAAAACCCTTCCCAGAGCCCCAGGGAGAAGCAATGGCCCCTCCCACAGGAATTCAACACCACTAGGACAGGCCAGAGTAATGTAAATTGAGGCTCATTAACATCTAGAGTCTGATAGTGAGCACGTGCCCCACCTGCTGGAAATCCTCTTACAGTTGAGGGATTTTTCATTCAGCTGAGGGCTACAAATGATGGCTCATCAAGTAACTGAGACTAATAGCCTATAGGCAAAAAGCTACAGGATAATTGAACCTTTTCTTGGCTTGCAGATCTCCCCAGGAAAGTAAGACTTGATACTGATGTTTAACATGGGTCTTTCCACACTCAACTGAACCTAGTCGAGGAAGTCACAACCAGCGGAACACAAACACCCACAGGGAAAATTTGGCAGACTCCAAAACCCACCAAGACAGCCACAATGGTGAAACAAATAAACAAAACCCAAATGAAAGAACAAAATAATTTGACAAGAGAAAAAATAAATGAAATGGAATTGAGCATGATATCAGAGGGAAGTTCAGATTAATAACCACAAGGAAGCTCAACAGCATGATATAGAAACATTAAAAACCAACCAAGTGGAAATAAAGAATGACATAGCAGAAATAAAGAACACAGTGGAAGGAATAACCAGCAGAGTAGAGGAAGCTGAGGACCGGATCAGTGAATTAGAAGACAGGGTAGAAAAAAATTCACCCGATTAGAAAACCAAAAAGAAAAAAACAGCTAAAAAACAGGAAGACAGAGACTTCTGGTCAAGATGGTGTGTAGGTAAACATGGTATCGCGTCCTCCCACAACCACATCAAAGTTACAACTAAACTAGAGAACAACCATCATTCAAAACTGCCTGAAATCAAGCTGAAAGGAAGTCCTACAACTACGGAATTAAAGCAGCAGCCACATCCAGACTGGTAGGAGGGGCGGAGGCGCGAGGGCCGGTGGCAAGATGGACTGGTCCTACACCCTCGTGTGGCAGATAAAAATCAGGAGGATATCTCGGCTGGGAAGGTCCTTCCTGAGGGCTGAGGGGTCCCCATCCCACACCAGGTGCCCCGCTCAGGATTCCAGTGCCAGAGAGAGAAGTCCCCATAACTTCTGGCTGGAAAAACCAGCAGGAACTGAGGCTCAGGGAAGCTGAAGCAGCTGGAGCCCCAGGCAGCTCCTTAAAGGGCCCGTGCACGAACTTATCGAACTCTCTCCCTCTAAGCTTGGAGGGGAGGCAGCCAGAGACATACAGGGAAAAACGGAGCTGTTTGGCACTGGAGCGTGGGCTGGAGAGGGGGCTTTCTTTGGGACAAACGTGCTGTCAAAGGCCTTTGTTCCTTTGGTGAGTCCTTCCCTGGGGTGGCAGACAGCTGCCATATCTGGGACTCCAGCAACCTGGCTCACACTGGTAGCCCCGCCCTGGTTACTCCCTGAGGCCCCGCCCCTCCCCTCCCAACTTTCAGGTCCAACCAAGCTGTTGCCACTTGCTTAACCATAGGATTGGCCTGTCTTGGATCCTGCTTCAGGTTTTTCCTAAATTCTTTCAAACAAGCAGCATCTGGTCTCAGCTAGCCCCATACCGCTTGTTAAGTAATACACAGAAACAAACACAGGGAGGCAGCCAAAATGAAGAGACAAAGAAACAGGTCCCAAATGAAAGAACAGAACAAAACCCCAAGAAAAGAACTAAGCGAAATGGAGATAAGCAACCTAACAGATGCTGAGTTCAAAATACTGCTTATAAGGATACTCAATGAACTTAGTGAGAACCTCAGTGAACTTAGTGAGGGCCTCAAGAGCATAAAAAAGGGCCAGTCAGAGTTGAAGGAGGCATTAACTGAAATAAAGAATAATTTACACAGCTTCAATAGTAGAGTACGTAAATCTAAGAAGCAAACCATCGATTTGGAACATAAGGAAGCAAAAAACACCCAATCAGAACAGCAAAAAGAAAAAAGAATCCAAAATAATGAGGATAGTGTAAGGAGCCTCTGGGACAACTTCAAGCGTGCCAACATTCGCATCTTGGGGGTGCCAGAAGGAGAAGAGCGAGAACAAGAAATCGAAAACCTGTTTGAAACAATAATGGCAGAAAACTTTCCTAACTTGGTGAAGGAAACAGACATACATGTCCAGGAAGCACAGAGAGTCCCAACCAAGATGAACCCCAAGAGGCCCACACCAAGACACATCATCATCAAAATGCAAAAGGTTCAAGACAAAGAGAGAATCTTAAAAGCAGCAAGAGAAAGGCAGCTAGTTACTTACAAGGGAGTTCCCATATGGCTGTCAGCTGATTTCTCAAAAGAAACTTTGCAGGCCAGAAGGGAGTGGCAAGAAATATTCAGTGTGATGAAAAGCAAGAACCTACAACCAAGATTACTCTATCCTGCAAAGCTGTCATTTCGAATCGATGGCCATATAGAGTTTCCCAGACAAGAAAAAGTTAAAGGAGTTCATCACCACCAAACTGTTTTTATATGAAATGATGAAGGGTCTTTCTGAAGAAAAAGATAAAATATATGAACAAACAAAATGGCAATGAATACATATCTATTAATAATGGGATCTGCAAACAAAATGAACACGTAGATCAGAAACATTCTCATAGATACAGAGAACATTTTGTTGGTTGCCAGATGGGAGGGGGTTGGAAGAATGGGTGAAAAAGGTGAAGGGATTAAGAAGTACAAATTCAGCCCTGGCCAGTTTGGCTCAGTGGTTAGAGGGTTGGCCTGCGGTCTACAGAGACCCGGGTTCGGTTCCCGCTAAGGGCATGTACTTCGGCTGCAGTTTGTCCCCGGCCCTGGTCAGGTCGTGCGGGTGGCGGCCACTCGATGTGTCCCTTTCACGTCGATGTTTCTCTCTCTCTCTCTCTTCCTCTCTCTCCCTCCCACTCTATCTGAACAAAATATCGAAAAATGTCCTCGGGTGAGGATAAAAAAAAAAAAAAGAAGTACAAATTCATTGCTAGACTGACAAACCTCAAAGGGAAAGGGGTTGGGGGGTGGTGGGAAGAAATAAACCAAAGAACTTATATGCATAACCAATAGACACAGACAATAGTGTGGGAAAAGGCCGGGGGGCGGGGGTGGGAGCGGGACTTGGGAGGAGGGGGGCAATGGGGGAAAAATGTGAAACATCTGTAATACATTCTACATTCAACAATAAAGATTAAAACAAACAAATGAACAAAAAAACCAGGAAGACAGCCTATGAGAATTGTGCGACAACATAAAATGTAATAACATCTGCATCAAAGGAATTCCAGAAGAAAATGAGCAAGAGTTAGAGAATATATTTGAAGAAATAGTGACAGAAAACTTTCTTAGCTTGGTGAAGGAAAAAGGCATACAAATTGAAGAGGCACACAGAGCCCCAAGTAAGATGAACCCAAGGAGGCCCACACCAAGACACATAATAATTATAATGACAAAAATTAAAGACAAAGAGAGAAACCTAAAGGCAGCAAGCAAAAAGCAGCAGGTTACCTACCAAGGAACCCCCATAAGGCTATCAGCTGATGTGTCACCAGAAACACTACAGGTCAGAAAGGAATGGCATGAAGTAATCAAGGAAATGAAAAACAAGGATCTGAACCCAAGACTATCCAGCAGTCTATCATTAAAAATAGAAGGTGAAATAAAGGGCTTTCCACACCAGAAAAAAGGCTAAATGAATATATTAGCACCAAACCAGCACTCCAAGAAATGCTAAAAGGACTGCTGTGATAAGAAAAAAATAGGAAGAAAAACATAACCATAATAAATTAAGATGCCAATAAATAAGTATGTATCAATAATAACCTAAAATGTAAATGGATTAAACATTCTGAGCAAAAGACAGAGTAGCTGAATAGATAAGAAAGCATTATTCATCTATATGTTGTTTATAAGAGATCCACCTCACAAAAAAAGACTCACATAGATTGAAAGTAAAGGGATAAAAAAAAAAAGTTTCCATGCAAACGGAAAGGGAAAAAAAGCTGGGGAAGCAATACTCAGATCCAGTAAAACAGACTTCAAAAGGAAGGTCTCAGCTACAGACAAAGAAGGCCACTACCTAATACTGAAAGGATCTAAGAGGAGGACATACCCTATGTAAACATATATGCACCCAGTATAGTAGCACCAAAGTACATTTAAAAACTTCTGGAGGACTTCAAAGGAGAAATCAACAGCAATACAATCATAGCAGGGGACTTCAACACCCCGCCGACATCACTGGATAGATACTCTAGACAAAAACTTAACAAGAAAACAGAGACTCTAAATGCTGCACTAGATCAAATGGATATAATAGATATCTACAGAGAATTACAACCCCAAACTGCAGAATTCACATTCTTCTCAAGTGTACATGAGACATTCTCAAGGACAGACAATGTGTCAGGACACAAACTAAGTCTCTACAAGTTCAAAAAGATTAAAATCATATCAAACATCTTCTTAGATCACAATGGCATGAAATTAAAAATCAATTACAACAACAACAAAAACATTCAAACAAATGGAGGCTGAATAGCATGGTATTAAACAACTAATGGGTTACCAAGGAGATCAAGGAGGATATTAAAAACTTCCTGGAAACCAATGAAAATGCACACAGAACACCACAAATCTATGGAATGGCCCTGGCCAGTTTTGCTCAGTGGTTAGAGTGTCGGCCCGTGAAAGCAGTCCCAAGTTCATAGCACTGCAGGCCTACTTCAAGAAACAAAAAAAATTCCTCCCTGGCCGGTTTGGCTCAGCGGTTAGAGCGTCGGCCTGCGGTCCTGAGAGACCCGGGTTCCCGCTAAGGGCACGTACCTCGGTTGCAGTTTGTCCCCAGCCCTGGTCGGTTGTGCGGGTGGCAACCACTTGATGTGTCCCTTCACATCGATGTTTCTCTCTCTCTATTCCTCTCTCTCCCTCCCACTCTACCTGAACAAAAAATGGAAAAATGTCCTCGGGTGAGGATAAAAAAAAAAAAAAAAAAAAAAAATTCCTAATTGACTTTCTAACCCTACAACTAAAAGAACTAGAAAGTAAACCAAAAGAAAAACCCAGAGCAAGTAGAAGGAAATAATACTAAAGATCAGAGCAGAACTAAATGACATAGAAACTAAAAAAACAATTCAAAAGATCAATGAAACAAAGATATGGTTCTTGTAAAAAATAAACAAGATTAGTGGACCGTTAGCCAGACTCAAGAAACAAAGAGAGAGGACCCAAGTAAACAAAATCAGAAACGAAAGAGGAGAAGTAACAACTGACAGCACAGAAATACAAAGGATTGTTAACAAATACTATGAACAATTATAAGGCAACAAATTGCACAATCTAGGCGAAATGGACAAATTTCTAGAAATACATAGTCTCCCAAAACTGAACCGGGAAGATATAGAAAACTTGAACAGACCAATAACAACTAAGGAAATTGAAGATGCAATCAAGACTCTCCCAGCAAACAAAAGCCCAGGCCCAGATGACTTCATGGAGGAGTTTTACTGGATATTCAAAAAAGAGCTAACACTCTTTCTCCTCAAACTATTCCAAAAAATCCAAGAAGAACAACTTCCAAACTCATCTCCTGAGGCCAGCATAATTCTAATTCCAAAACCAGATAAAGACACTACAAAGAAAGAAAACTACAGGCCAATATCCCTGATGAACACAGATGGCAACATCCTTAATAAAATATTAGCAAATTAGATCCAGCAATACACCAAAAAAATTATTCATCACAACCAAGTGGGATTCATCCCAAGGATGCAAGGATGGTACAATATACACAAATCAATAAATGTGATACACCACATAAACAAAATGAAAGATAAAAACCATATGTTCTTATCAATAAACCCTGAAAAAAACATTCAACAAAATCCAGCACCCATTTCTGATAAAAACACTCAGCAATGTGGGAATAGATGTATCATATCGCAATATAATAAAGGCCACATATGAAAAACCCACAGCTAACATCACACTCAATGGGCAAAACTAAAAGTGTTTCTTTTAAGAACAGGAATAAGACAAGGATGCCCACTTTCACCACTCTTACTCCACATAGTACTGGAAGTCTTAGCCACAGCAATTAGACATGAAGAAAAAATAAAAGGGATCCAAATTGGAAAGGAGGAAGTGAAACTGTCCTTATTTGCAGATGACATGATATTGTACATAGAAAACCCTAAAGACTCCATCAAAAATCTACTAAAGCTAATAAATGAAATCTGGAAAAGTGGCAGGATACAAAATTAACATCAAGAAATTGGTTGCATTCTTATACACCAATAATGAACTCACAGAAAGAGAAGCTAAAAAAAGAGAAAAAAAATCCCATTTACCATTGCAGTAAATAAACTAAGGTATCTAGGAATAAACTTAACCAAACAAGTAAAGGACCAATTCTCAGAAAACTGTAGGACATTGAAAAAAGAAATAGAGGAAGATATAAAAAAGTGGAAGCATATACCTTGTTCATGGATTAGAATAATTAACATTATTAAAATGTCCATACTACCCAAAGCAAACTATAAATTCAACACAATCCCCATCAAAATACCAACAACATATTTCACAGAACTAGAACAAATACTTCAAAAGTTCATATAGAACTGAAAAATACCCCAGATAGCTACAGCAATCTTCAAAAAGTAGAACGAAGTAGGAGAGATCACAACACCAGATACCAGGTTATACTACAAAGCCACTGTAATCAAAACAGCCTGGTACTGGCACACGAACAGGCAAGATAGATCAATGGAACAGAACAGAAAACCCAGAAATTGACCCAAGTCATTATGCTCTATTATGTTTGACAAAGGTGGCAAGAACACACAATGGAATAAAGACGGCCTTTTCAATAAATGGTGTTGCAAAAATTGGACAACTACATGCAAAAAAGAAGCTAGACCACCAACTTATACCATACACAAGAATAAACTCAAAATGCATAAAAGACTCAAATGGGATTCGTGAATCCATAAAATCCTATCGTTATATCCTTATGTAGGTAAAACTTGAATACTTACTGGATTCCACCGTCATCTGAAGCAAACTATCAATGACATTGGGTAAGAGCCCTTTACTGGATATTCTCAGGTGACTTAATATTACTGGGACAGCTTGGTACTCCAAAAATAAGATTTTCCCTTCATCTGTCTTCAAGTCCAAACAAAGAGAATCGAATGCCTGAGCCAGGTAATCAGCTGAAAAACAACATGCAAAATCCAGTTCCATGTTATCATCCAACTGGCAACCAGGAACAGAAGGTACAGAGGCAATATCATAACTTTAACCAATTCAAAAGTGAAACAGAACTTAAAGGACCAGAGTACAAGCTAAATTTAGATACTCCATTCTCTAATCTATGAGAGCTCCAATGGGAAAATAAATTACATTATGATAGGGTAAATTTTATTTAAATTTTTCATATTTTAACATTAAAATAACAATAAACCCCATTTCTATTTTACATCAAGAAATAAAACAATTGCTGTTTAATAGGAAATACACAATGTTTATTTTCCATATTTCATTATAACTACCACATGCGCCCCTAAGTTTAAACAGCATTAGCATTTCTTTTACAACAGCTTCTGAGATTATACCTTTTGTTGTTCCTACTTTCTAAGTGTTTACCTGTTTCAAAATGTAACTTTATATAAACTTGCTGAATGGGTTTTACACTAGGATTCTGTCTCCTTGTGAGATAAAACATCAGCATGTAAACACCGGCTGCAGAAGACTGGAGTGCAGCGGTGTGCTGCCTTCTGTGACAGCTGATGTTAGGAATGGCAGCAAGATTTACCAGCGCCGATGCTAGGACGGCACTGCCCAGATCAGAATCCCTGGAACTTCCTTAGAGATGTTCCACAGACAACTGGAAGCTTGCAAAGCCAAGATTAAGAAGCCCAGACACTGTGGGTGGACACGTTTCACTGTGCTTCCTTCACCCGTGTTTGTTCACAGATTAAGGCAAGAGCTTCCACCAGCAAAGAGACTGCAGCTTTGGGTGCTCGCCTCACTGCGGTGGTCAGGAACCGAACCTGCAGTGTCTCTGAGCTCTGCCTGCATCCAACCGAGACCCCAAAGCCTCCTTCCAACGCTCAGCCTACTGCTCTCTGTGGAGCATCTGACAAGAAGGCAGAGAACAAAGGCCGAGAAGGAACCAGCGGGCCAGCTTTGGCATTTGATACTGATGAAAATTTTTTTAAATGTGTTTTTATTGATTTTCTAGAAAGAGAGGAAGGGATAGAGAGACAGAAACATCAATGTGAGAGGGAAACATCGATCGCCTGCCTCCTGCATACCCACACTAGGGATCGAGCCCACAACCTGACCGGGAATCGAACCAGGACCTCTCAGTCCATGGGACAATGTTCCATCCGGAGCCATGCTGGTCAGTGATACTGATGTAAATTTGAAGCCATTCACCTTTAGCATTTCTCTCCCTGAAATAGGGGAACTGTTTCTCGGGTAATGTGAATCTCTGCGCAATGGCACTTCCTAAACTGTACAACAGCTCCCAAACTGTCTCCATTAGAAAACTGGTCCTGTAAGGAACTCGGGGTTTGGAAATTAAATCAGTTTGGGAAATGCTGTGCAATATATTCAAGCTTTACAGATTCATTATGCCCACTAAATACTAAAGTAAGAAAACATGAAACTTTAGTTACCCCCAAATTTCTCCGGCAGTTTTAAGTGCAGACCATACAGCTCCCTCCATCCCCTGAGTCAAATCTGCTATCACCCAAGAGCTAGCCCCCGCAGACAGACTGTGAGGACGACAGACTATCTCGATGCCTTTTCAATGACAGTCAAAGGATCTGGGGTCCTCTCTAGATTCTCCCTTATTTCCCATGGACGCTGGCATTGTTTTTAAATCTCTCAGAGTTTCTATTAGATTAAAAAAAAATTTCATATGACTAATTCTGAGGTTTTCAAACAAAGAAAATAGAGGAAAATGGTATAAAAGACACCCATGTTGCACTATTGCCACCCTAGATTTAGCAGCTGTTAATATTTTACTAAATACAGTCTTTAAAAAAAAAAAAGAAGTTACAGAAAAAAGTGAATTCAACAAAAATTAATCATAGATGGGAATGGTTTTACAACTTGGGGAACCAAACTGTCCCTTTATTAGCTCTGTTAATTAATCAAAATTGGGGGAGGACATTGTCATGGAGGTGGTTACTTTTGTATACCATAAGACAATCTCAAACTTTACAAACACATTTTAATATTTTAAAAATGTATCACTTAGACTATCAATAAGATATCTGATACCATTCAATTAATCCCATTCATTCCACCTGTTTGGTAACATTTTACCTAATTGCAAAATTTTGATCCTAGCTCTCAAAGCTTGTCCGACACCACATTAAGACCTAAGATTGCTTTCAGCCAACAATTTCCACTTGATCTTAGCCAAAAGGCTGACAAGTGACCAACTACCAACTGGTACACTAAGACTTCTGGACTATTCTAGGTGATTTTAAAAGTAGCTTAAAGACATATTTCAAATGAATTCTGAATGGTTTCTCATATATTTCTCTTTTAAAAACTTTAAACCATTTTCACAGAGAAAACACACACCTAAACAAATACTTTTTAAAACTAAGAGAGCAGCATCAATCTGTATTCACGTATTTAGATGAAAGGTAACATAACATACATGTTTCTCACAGTTTCTTAAATTAATGAGATATTATTTAGTCTGATTTTTCAACTTCCATTTTATATCCTAAAGTTTAGATTACACTTGAAAATATAAACACTTTTCAGAAACACCCAACAATAACAAAAATGTGACTAGAACTACTGGCAGTTGTGTGTCTCACTTGAACAAAAAGTCTCCAGGGTAAAGAAATTCTTGAACTGGTTTTGTACAGAGGACACTGGCCGAAAAGGAATTTAAATTAAACATTAAAATAACTTAGAAAGTGGACAAGACACAGGATTCACAAGAAAATAACAAGACAGTTATGAAGTGACCAGGACAGGCAAGAGATACCACTATGTGCACTCTGGTTAGAGCCTTGTTTATTACCGTTTATCACAGACAGTCTAATATTCACTAGTACTGTGTCAGTATGAATAAACTGCAAACACATTTGTCGGTGAAAAGTAAGCTGTAGAAAAACATGGTATGATATAATTTGCAGATTTAAAAAAAAATTTTTTTTATCCTCACCCAAGGACATTTTTGCATTTATCTTCAGATAGAGCGGGAGGGAGAGAGAGGGGAAGAGAGAGAGAGAGAAACATCTACGTGACAGAGACACACTGATTGGTTGCCACCCTCATGACCCCAACCAGGGCCTGGGACAAACTGCAACCGAGGTACGTGCCCTTAGTGGGAATCGAAAGCGGGACTCCCAAGTCCGCGGGCTGACGCTCTGACCGCTGAGCCAAACCAAGCAGGGCTAATTTGTAGATTTTTAAGAGAGGATAAACCAAGAGTAGTGTGTTTTTTAGAGGTTCACATATACAGCATTTGAGGAGCATCTGCCATCCTCATGTCTTCATACTTGATAACAGTCTTTTTGCGTGCCAAGCTCTTAAAATTTCAAGCACTTGTTCATGATGTTCCCTCAGAACGACCTTCCTCTTTATTTTGTGCCTATGAAATTCTATACACCCTGTACAGTCAGCTCAAATGCTGACTCCTCATATTGAATCCTCTCCTGGTCCCCTCTCTTATACCAACAAAAGTAGCTTATCACTTCTCTTTAACCAGTACTATTTCAACTTCCAGTGTCATTAATTATAACACAAAACAGAATGAAATACAGTCTACTTATCCACTAGATACTATTGTGTTTGAGAGCAGGGACTGTCTTATGACTCATCTTAAAAAAATGACTTGGACAAGAAAGCAGTCAAACTCACTCTGGCCAGTGTGGTTCAGCTGGTTGGGCAGTGTCTGTGCACCGAAAAGGTTGTCAGGGCACATGCCCGGGTGCAGGCTCGATCCTTGGAACGGGGTGTGCAGGAGGCAGCCAATCAATGTTTCGCTCTCACATCGATGTTTCTCTCTCTCCCTTCCTCTCACTCTAAAAATCAATCAAACATCTTTTTAAAAAAGCAATAATGTGCCCTGGCTGGTTTGCTCAGTGGTTAGAGCATCAGCCTGCGGACCAGAGAGTCCTGGGTTTGGTTCCCACTAACGGCACATACCTCGGTTGTAGTTTGTCCCCGGCCCCATTTGGGGTTGTGTGGGTGGTGGCCACTCGATGTGTCTCTCTCACATCAATGTTTCTCTCTCTCCCTTCCTCCCTCTCTCCCTCCCACTCTATCTGAAGATAAATGCAAAAAAAAAAAAAAAAAAATCAATAATGCTCATATTTTATTATCATGCATCCCAATTACTTTGCAGCTGCCAAGGCAGGAGGCCTGAGCGCCAGTGCTGCTGTCCAGGTTGTTAAAATCACAACGCTCATTATAAACATCTTTTCAAATAAACCTTCCAACCACGTCCTCAACCTACACTACCAGCCTGGACTTTTACTTGGTGTATTACACCTTTTAATACACTTGGTCTTCACAGTAAGAAGAACGAAAGGCCTTATTCCTGCCATTTAACTTCAGCTGTGGACAAAAAGGGGCCTCGTGCTAACCTGACAAGCTCAGGGGAGGCCTGCGTGGTGGCCTCGCAAACTCAGACCTACAGTAACCACAGAGGTCGGTGTGAAATTAACCCTGGTAACTAGCAAGTCCAAGGCAGCCATGCCAGAGGGCAGCATGCTTTCTGAACGAGGGTCAGTCTTCACCTGAACTGAGATGCCGTTGTCCTTTCGCATCTAGGAGAACATATCTTCGTAATAACAGAAAAATGTCTTTTCCTCCAGACCCTTCAAAGCACAACCACCTCACCAGAAGAGAAACCACAAATTCCCTCATTGTCATTATCAGCACATTGTTGTTAACGATCCTATACCTACCTGCCTGTGTGAAAGCAGCGTCTCTAGTCCTTTCACTCTTTATCCAATCCCAGAAGGCTACCCCACCCCACCACACTTTGCTTCTCCACCTCCTACCTATCGCCAGCAGATTTCATGGAGCCCTACACCTCCCCTTGATTCTGATGTATACAGTAAGTGGAGGAACTGTCATTTTCCAGGGCATTATCTAAATTTGTAGAGATTTTGTTTCTGGCAAGTGTTGTCAATTTGGCTCAAATGAAGTAAAAAAAATTTCCTTTCTAATATTCATCCTTTAATTTTTTTTTTTAATCCTCACCTGAGGACATTCTTCCTTTTTTTTTCAGATAGAGTAGGAGGGACAGAGAGGAAGAGAGAGAGAGAGAAACATCAATGTGCAAGAGACACATCAAGTGGCTGCCACCTGCACAACCCATCCAGGGCCGGGGACAAACCTCAACCGAGGCACACGCCCTTAGCGGGAACCAAACCCGGGTCTCTCCAGACCGCAGGACCATGCTCTAACCGCCGAGCCAAACCGGCCAGGGCCATCCTTTAATTTTTTATGGCTCATCACAGATGGTCAGCATGTCCACTACTATACTACACAGAATTTCTCTACTTCATTTCTGTTTTATTTCTCTAGTTCATCAGTTTTATTAGTAATGAATGTTGTATTTTATCAAATGATATTATCATGTATGTTGGTAGGTGGTCACTTTATTTGGGGCTAACACCCCCTCCTCATAAATGACTTTTCAAACATTTACCACCCAATTTGTTACAACTTTGAGAACCGTAACTATAAGGAAGAAAGTAACTCAGAAGATGGAGTTAGAGTTGGTTTTTCCTTACACGCCACATAATTATGAGTAACTAAACAGAACATACTTCAGAGAAAGGAGTCAAATTAAATTACTGCCATTACCCACTTAAAAAAAATGAGTTACATAATTTAACAAACAGGAAAGGTAGATAAATGGTATATTTATTATTTGACTACACTGGTATGGCTTCCTTTAATAAAAATTATCATATTTAATAATCCAAAATAACTTATTAGTTGTATATCAAAACTATATTAAAAATCGCCAACTTTGATTGAAATGCTTTTTAATTCATCCATGTCCTTCTTCACTATTATAGATCAAGTATATACTTGGTGTAGGGAAATACAAGGTTAAAAGGTTTCTTTTTCTCCCCTCAGGAAACTCACAAGCCAGTGCAGGAACCGACAAGCCTGTTCTGTAAAGGTCACGTGATAATACTGAAGGCTCTGGGCGCAATACAGTCTGTTGCCAACTATTTCATTTCTGTTGTTGAGGGCAGAGACAGTCATGAACAACAGGTAAAAAATAAGCATGGACGTGTAAGACTCTACTCACAAAACAGAGGGTGGGCCACATGTGGCCCATGGGCTGTGGTTTGCCAACATCTGCTCCAGTGGAAAATTATTAACTAGCAACTTCAATACTGTTACAGGGCAATGAAAAGCTAGGACAATTCCAGGGCAGGGGGAACAGGGAAAGAGACAGGAAAGTTAAACAAGCCAAGCAGTTGGACAGCCTGCAGCTGGCCTGCAAATAACAAGCCATTATCTTCCCGAAAGCAAGGACACTTGAGAGCGAATGGTTAAAAGCCTCCCTAAGGAGAGAATGCAGGAGAGGAGGGGAGGAGGGGCGGAGGGGAGGAGAGGTGGAGGGAGTTTTTCTCACCTGCTAAACAAAAAAATCAGCCTTTTGGGGTAAGGAGAAAAAAGGGGCAGTTTTAGTTTTTTACTCTCTAGACAGAAAAGCCAGCAATCTTAGGCTTGGCACGATAACACTGCCAGGTACTTCTCAGGAGTTCTGGGGAGGCCACCACAAAGTAAACAGGGACCATGAGAATCAATCTGCACCAAGGTATTCAGCAGAGGAATTTTGAAACCTATAGACAGGAGGGTATATAACACTTGAACTCCTACCAAACTCACTCTTCAGATTAGCTGAGAGCCCACCTGTGCTTCATCAGCCCAAAGTATAGATAGGCTTGCCTTGCTTCGTAAAAAAATGTGCATGTTTTAATTTTTAATACATTGGCTTTATCACAACACAATCAAGATCACTGGTGTCAATTCATTTATATGAGAAGACAAGAATTGTGTCTGTGAGAGGTACCTGTCACAATTCCGTATGGTCAATGCAGTGATAGTGGTAAGCAAAGGCTGTTATGAAACATGACCTAAGAGAATCAACACAGGCTTCTGGAACAGGAAATGTAAGTAGTTTTTATAATGTGCTACCATTATAAAACAATTTAAAATCTCATTCTGAAAATGTGAAACATATTTGACTATACCAGAACTGCTTCATTATATAGTATACCATAAGCACATTTGAAAGCTTACCTTGAGTGACTGTTTTGAGAACAATTAAAGTTGATAAAAATCTCAATGGCAAATGGGAGCTCCTAAAGAAAGCGGCTGTCTTTGGCTTATTCTCCAGAGAGTGCTCTAAGGAAGTGTCCTGAGTTCCCTTAGTGACCACTCCTCTGAATATGTCTTCCCCCAATCTCCTCAAAGTTGCTGTCATAGTTGAATGCTGTTAAAAAATATATATTACCTTATTATACATATTTATGCTAAGAAAATATTTTAAATTCTACAAACATATGAATTAAAGATGTCATTTTGGCTAATTAAAAATAAAATGGAGTTGAAAATATGCAAGACTGAAAAGTAATAATTTTATAATCAACTTAAAAAATAGATTTATGACTGCCCTGCCATGTGGCTCAATGATCAGGGCACCAGCCTGTGCACTGAAGGGTTGCAGGTTCAATACCTGGCCCGTGGGTAGAGGCACATATGGGAAGCAACCACTAGAAGTGTCTCTCTCACACTGATGCTTCTCTCCCCCGCCCCCACCTTCCTTCCTCCCTTCCACTCTCTAAAAAGCAATGGAAACAATATTCTTGGGTGAGGATTAACAACAAAATGTATTTATGACTATATTTTTCTTTTCTTTTTTTTTATCCTCACCTGAGGACATTTTTCCATTTTTTGTTCAGGTAGAGTGGGAGGGAGAGAGAGGAACAGAGAGAGAGAGAGAAACATCGATGTGAAAGGAACACATCGAGTGGCTGCCACCCGCACAACTGACCAGGGCCGGGGACAAACTGCAACCGAGGAACGCGCCCTTAGCGGGAACCGAACCCGGGTCTCTCAGGACCGCAGGCCGACGCTCTAACCGCTGAACCAAACTGGCCAGGGCATGACTATATTTTTCTAAAAGAAATGCACAGTCTACGAGAATTAGAAAATTAGAAAGTAATTTTCTAAGAATAAATTTAGAAGACGACTTGAGACAAAATTCAGGTTTAAAACATTTAAGAAGAGGATCACGAGCGATTTCCAGCGCAGAGAAATCAGAGGAACAGAGACAGACTCCATAGGCCCTTCACTGCTCTACCGGGACCTACAAAGGGCTCAACAGGTACATCTTACAGTGCTAGCTTATAAAGTGATCATCTAACCTCACTTTCTTACACAGCTCAGTTTGACTGTAAATATCACAATGATTTTGATAACTTAACAATGTCAGAAAAATAAATACTGGGTTAGAATCATGAATAATTCTCATGGCAAATAAACTAAAATAAAAAAATGGGCAAAAGAGAAATAATGGCATACTGTTATAATGTGTCAGCGAGATAACCAGAGACGCACAGCCAAGTTGTAAAGGAGCGCTTTATTGTCACCAGCGGGACACGGAGGACAAAGTCTCCCCTCAGATCAGCAGCCCTGATTCATCTGATTTTAGAGAGAAGCCCCATCCTCCTTTTGCTTCCCCCCCAGAGGACCCGTACAATAGTGGGTGTGACCGTGATTACAGAAATCAAAATTAGCATCATTCACCGGGCTCTTGAATACCTGCAAAGCCTGCAATTACTGATACTCGAAACTGCAGATGCCTCCCAACACGTGGGGCAACTATAATCTTAGGCAAAATTCCTTTACTTCCAGGGGTAATTAACCTATTACTGGAAAAATATCGAGGAAGGTCCACTGATGATAAAAATGGAGTTACTTAGTCACCTCAGCCAAGAGGCCTGCATAAGAATGGAATCCAGTAGCCTCAGCCTCGGGCCCAGGTCAATATAACTACCTCTAGAGTAACAGGCCCTTAGGGCAGTTCATACACACGCTAAGAACCAGATGGAGGAAAACACTGTAAACTGCTGCACATGAGACTGTTACCCCAGACCCAGAAGCATCTCAAACTTGTCTTCATTGTTACCCAGTTCTCCCTATCTTACAGAAATTAATGACCAACTGGTACCCAAATCATTACTGATCTTCCTAAGTGGATAACAAGAGTTAGCGTTAGAATTTCTGCATAGAAAATCAGAGACAGCAATGTCCAACTGTCACGGGACATCGAAGGCAGATGACGGGGTGGTGAGTGGCACAAGCAGCACCATCTCATTTCAATAGTCAGCAGCCTCCAATGTCGTTAGGAAAGAGTACACATGTGCTTTAAAACCTCTCTGTAAAAAGATAATAGGAGAAAATATTTCAAAATTCTACTCAGAATAATTGTTACTAGGACAGGATTAAGGGGGATATGCTTATTTAAAAATATCTACAATGTTTTATACTACCTTTTATAATAGAAAACACACTTAAAAATGTGTTACTATTTCCCTTTAAGTGGAAGAGAAAAGAAAAAGAAAATTACAAAAATAGCATATTTTGTTGTTACTGAACCTTCACCCAAACACTGAAATCTTTGCTGAAACCATTTGGGTGTTGACTTTTTCATCCATTCATTGATAGTACAATGCATGATTTTCCTACTTGAGTCATTTATCTTTACCAGGATTTGAATTTAAAAATTCGCATTAGCGCCCTGGCCCGTTTGCTCAGTGGTTAGAGCATCGGCCTGTGGTCCTGAGAGACCCGGGTTCGGTTCCTGCTAAGGGCACGTACCTCGGTTGCAGTTAGTCCCCGGCCCCAGTTGGGGTCGTGTGGATGGCAACCACTCGATGTGTCTCTCACATCAATGTTTCTTTCTCTCCCTTCCTCTCTCCCTCCTGTTCTGTCTGAAGATAAATGCAAAAATGTCCTCAGGTGAGGATTAAAAAAAACAAAACTGGCATTAGCCCTGGCCAGTGTGGATCATCTAGTTGAGTGTCACCCAGGCACCAGGAGGCCCTGGCTCTACTCCCCGTCAAGGCACAAACCAGGTTTCGGGCTCAATCCCCAGCGGAGAGTGTGCAGGAGGCAGTTGATCAATGTTTCCCTCTCTCTCCTCCCTTCCTCTCTAAAAAAAAAAAAAAAAAATCAATAAAAACATATATATTTTTTAAAATAAAAGAGTGTAAAATCTAAAATTTGGCATTAGCCCTGACCGGTTCGTTTAGTGGTTAGAGCACTGGCCCACTAATGAGACCCGGGTTCGATTCTAGCCAGGGACATGTACCTTGGTTGCCGTTTGTCCCTGGCCCTGGTCGGGGTCACACAGGAGGCAACCAGTCAGTGTGTCCCTCTCACTTCGATGTTTCTCTCTCTGTTTCTCTTTTTCTTCCTCTCTCCCTCCCTCCTAATCTGTCTAAAGATAAATGGAAAAATGTCTTCGGGTGAGGATAAAAAAAAATAAAATGAAATTTGGCATTAAATCCCATTTTGTAGGAAGCAAAACATGTCAAGAATAACCTTGACCCCAAAATTTAGCAAGTTTAAAAAAACAAAACCCTTCTGAGTATAAGATGGAGCAAGAGTACCTCTCCCTAGTCTCCTGAAGACAATGCGAGCCCCTTAACGTCATACAGAAAACAGACACGATGGCTCCAGGAGGTGGAGAGGAAGCTGGATAGGCACCTGGAAAAATAAACCTTTAGACAAAACCATGTTCCAACCAAATACCATAGAAAAATCTGTGGCCCAACCACACCCTGACCAGCAAAGTCCTAGGAGCCTAGACTCCGTCTCAGCAGGAGTAGGGAGATGGCAGTCAAGACCACGTGGGAAACAGTGATGAGGCAATGCTACCCCTCCCAGTTAGGGAGGTAGTCGTGAAGATGGCCAAGTAATGTTTCTCTCTTTCTCTCCCTTCCCTCCCACTCTATCTGAAAATAAATGGAAAAGATGTATGGGGAGCCCCCTTAACTCCCCCCAATACCATCAAGAGCTAGTGGGGAACCTGGACATCTACCTCACTGGGAACACAGCCCAGCTGGAGTGGCTCAGTGGACTGAGTGTCGCCCCATGGACTAAGAGGTCCTAGTTTAATTCCCAATTAGGGTACAAGCCTGGGTGGTGAACTTGATCACCAGTGGGGGGCATGCAGGTGGCAGCTGATCAATGTTTCTATCCCTCTCTCCCTTCCTCTCTCTTTAAAATATCAATAAAAACATATTTAAAGTAAATTTTTTATAAAAGGGCACACAACCTGAATAGACACCTCTCCAAAGAGGACCAATAGACATATGAAAAAATGCTCAAAATCACCAATCATGAGAGAGATGCACATTAAAACCACAATGCAATAGCACCTCACACCTGTCAGAATGTCTATCATCAATACATCCCCAAATGACAAGGGCTAGTGAAGATGTGGGGAAAGGGGAGCCTTTGCACTGTTGGTGGGAATTCAGATTATTTACAACCACTATAAAAATCAGTATGGCGCCCTGGCCAGTTTGGCTCAACAGTTAGTGTCGGCCCTCTGACCAAAGAGTTGTGGGTTCAATTATGGTCACGGGCATGTACCTTGGTTGTGATTCGGTCCCAGCCCTGGTTGGGGTCATACAGGGGGCAACCACCAATTGATGTGTCTCTCTCACATCGATGTTTCTCTCTTTCTCTCCCTTCCCTCCCACTCTATCTGAAAATAAATGGAAAAGTATCCTCGAGTGAGGACGGGAAAAAAAAATCAGTATGGAGTGTCCTCAAAAAATTAAAAATGGAACTGCCTTATGAACCCAGTGATTCCACTTCTGCGTATATATCCAAAGTAACCCAAAACACTAATGCAAAGAATATATGCAAACCTATGTTCATTAGAGCACTATTTACAAGCCAAGATCTGGGAGCAGCTCAAGTGCCCATTAATAGACAAGTAGAAAATAAAGCTGTGGTACATATACACAATGGAATATTACTTGGCCATAAAAAAGACAAATATCACATATGATTTATATGTGGTATGCAAAGAACAAACAAAATAGAAACAGTTTATAGAAACAGAGAACATACCAATGAATGCTGGAGGGGAGGACAGTTGTGGGCACGGTAAAAAAGGTGAAGGAATTTAAAGTACTAATCAGTAGTTATGAAATAAGCTCAGGGATGTAAGGCACCGTAGATATCATCAACAATACTGTAATAACTATATACGACGCAGGTGGGCACTGAACTGTCAGAGGAAACACTATGAACCTATATGAATATTTAACTGCTGTGCTGTACACCTGAATACAAAATAGTGTTGAATGCAAACTATAATAAAAAAAATAAACACAGAAATAATTCTAAAAACCCAACAATAAGATGACAAACACCTCAATTAAAAAATGGGGAGCCCTGGTTGGGTGGCTC